CTAAATCGCTTTTAATGTAAATGTTTATTTAACCGTACTTTTATGTACACACACCCGTAATTTTTCTAGTGTGAGTAGGCACATTGACGATTGTCCTCTTTAAGGCCATATTTATACCCTTGAATGTAATAACAGAAGTCATAAAGTACAATTTGAATACAATAAAACGATTGTATGCAATACTATACATTGACGACCAGGTTGGCATTTGCTAACAGGCAATGTGGGGTCGACGAGATATTGAAGGTACAAACTATAAACAGAAATGCTATCAGACTGCGCAACAACGCATGCGTACTGCCACTGCGTTATAATACAATACAACAGTGCGCATGCGTATAGGTGTGAGACGAGGCGAGGCCCGCGCATGCGCTATTGTGTGGCTGTCCTACGTGCGATCGCTGTCGCTGTTGGCTAGGGTTCAAAGACCCAGAAACATAGTGTCATTGTAAATGCATAATCTGTATGAGTGTTCATTATATAAAGGACAATGTCGGTAGAGAATTTTTTATTTTTTTTATTTTCTATTTTCACAAGGAGTTTGACTTGAGATATTTTCACTTTATGCGTGTTGTTTAACGGTTAGTTAAGTGTCAACACTTTTAATGTTGTGTTTTACTATAGATATTTCTAAGATATATTGTTTATTGGTGGTTTTCTTCAAGTGTATAATCTCATTGCAGTACATTGTTAATGTCGTCTGCTGTTGCTGTGTTAGCTTCGCTTATGTCGCTCCAAGTCTGATTAAATTATCCTTGAATTATTCGTTTTAAGACGAAGAATTTATTTACAAAAAATAACAAAAGATTGAAGCTTCTTAGCCTACACACAACCTTTATCATGTTGAGTTAAAATATATAAGAGATACTTTGAAAGAGGATACAAAGTAGTTCCCACAGTAATGGCAATTCCGTTGAAAATTAAAATCCAACTAGCTTTTCGCTAGCTATTGAGAAAGGGAACACGCATTAGACGTACTTCTCGTTATGGGGCAGTTTTGCGAAGTAATGGTTCGCTTCAGTGCACAGAAGGTAAAACTGGCGATAGTTAAGTGTTGGGATAATGTTCTGCGTCGTTCAAATGCCGGCTATGGGCTAGAGACTGCAGAGTTTGTTGCTGTGATAAGGCGTGCTACTTTTTAACTTGTCGCTTTGTTAAATAATGCAGGAGTTTTACGCTATTTAATTAGAAGAAATTTCCAATACTTCCAAAGATACTTAAACAGGGATTACTACATATTATTATTATTTATTATTATTGTTAGTTAATTACCCTACTACACATTTGAATACTGGTACAGTTTTTCAAACGTCAACCGACATCGAAAAACAAAAGTTTTAGTAAACTAAAAATGTATATCATAGAAGATATGAAACTAAATTTGGATAATTTAGCACAACAGTTTTTAAATCCTTAGATAAACTAACCGTCTCAAGTTGTTAAATGGAAGATAGTTACATTTGGCTAGTAGCTAGAATGTTATACTAATCTCTTAATCTGTACCAACAAAAAGTTTTACCGTCAAAATTGCAAAATAAATGATTCTCAGCATTGACTTAAGGGGGTCAGATGACAAAAATATTTTTAAAAAAAAAATTAGTTTTTTATTTTGTATTATTTTTCATTTAATGCTCTTTAAATTAAAGCCTTACTGTAAAAAATCGGATGGCTATGACATTTTTTTTACTTTTAATGACGCAATGTTGCTCAGTTTTGACTAAATATAATAAAAAAAAAATAATAATCTATACTTATTTAATACGCAAGCAGGTTTTTTGTGACAATTACTCCTCCGAAACTACTGAACCGATTGACATGTTTTTGGTGTCATTGGAAAGAGCGTAACGTGAAGTTGTGCAGGAAACTTTCTTTTTAGGGAAACAATTAGAGAGGCCCTGGGGCCCTTTAAAGTTTCGTATTTATCCATAAGATTAACATGGGAAACAAAATTTGTGATGGAACTCCAGCTGTTGTCAGAAATTAAAAGTGAAATATTTATTGATGGTATCCATAGTAACAAAGAACAAACCCACAAAATTTAAAAATGTAAACAAGCAGAACTAACTGTCAAATTAATTTTGATTTCACAATTCCACACAGCTGGTCCAAATATATTAAATACTGCATGATTATTAGAACAGGAACGGTATGGATAATAAACATAAATAAAATATGTCACTCGCCCGAATTTAAACATTTAACATTGATTAAATGGAACTATAGTTCGGCCGCTTAGAAAACGACCTGCGCGCTAATGCTAAACCAATGCTAGAGGAGGTCGCTTTCTAAGCGGCCGAACTATATCAAACTATATGTTAATGTCATTAGTATTGGATTCTTTCAGTTACGTCATTTGTTGACCGAGTCTGTCCAATATTTTTGAGCTGCTGTAATAATATTTTACAGGAAATAATTGATATATAAATTCATGGAAATAAGTGATAATTTAGATTCTACAATCATTGCTGTTATTAAAATTGTGTATCCGCAGCAAACCTTCAGACTAAGCGAATTTCCATTTACCTGGCTTAATTTCTACAAAGATATTCCCTGAAAATTGTCATTTTTTCCTATTTAAAAAACATTAAGTTAATTTTAATATGAGTACCTAGGTTTGCTGCTACAGGGAAGGTAGGTGTGTTTTTGTTGAAATGTTGATAGCTTTGTATGATTGTTATTGGTTTGCAAATCCTGTAATACTTTACAATTGCTCGAATTCGAGCAACATGAACACTAGTTTGAAGTTAATTCAAGTATTTTTTAACTTAAATCTTTTTTCAATAAATTAATAATTCCGTAAAAGTTAAATAAACTAAAATTTCTTGAAACTTTCTTCTTATTTTATAGAATACAAAGAGATCAAGTTTTATAAATATATCTCTTATGGTTTTTGAAATATTTGTTCCTAAATATTAGGCTAATAAAATAGCATTGCGAAGATATGCTGTCCGAGCCTCCTTGACACCGAGGTAGAAAACACTATCTTTTATATGGATCCAGTGTAATCAATTCTTAAATTAAAAACGAAACAAACTTTTGTTGAATGAGCCATTAATATTTAATTAACCATTAATTAACCCAAAATACTGTTTTCTCTTCGCTTTTGATATTTTACGTGATCAAATATATTTCTGTTAACAAAAGTTTGGCTTCTTTATAAATGGTGTGTAATAACAGGTATCCGTAATTGGCATCAGCAAATACTGTTGGTGGCTTAATTCAACTAACTATGTTAATATGTTTCACCCAAACTGACTACAACATGGGAATGAAATGTTTAAGTAGAAGTTGTAGCATTATCACTTAAAACTCCATCGGTGGTTGGTGGGACTTGAAGCCAGGACCTCGGGGACATCGGACTAGCACTGTACCATTAGCTGTAGTTGTAGGCGGCAACTTGTCTCGCAGATAGCGCAGCATCCTTGGTCCATACAATGGCCTCAGTCGGGCCCCGGGGTCCTTGGCCTTCACTGGGCAGACTACAAGTGATACTGTACCATTCATCTGTTGTAGTCAATGGTGTTACATGTAATAATGTTTGTTCTGGTTTCCATAATTTTATTTGTACATCGTTACAATCTAAGCGAAGTGATCCGAATTTTCAATCCTCTTAGACCTTTGATAGGTTATAGCATAGATTAAACATACCCCCTTATACTACGCATGATAGAACTTGTTAAAAGACAGTCTAGACCCTCCGTTCACCTGTGACTGTCCGAGCCTTTTACCATTAACCAGTCTCCAGGTACACGTAGGTCCAGGAGACAGTAGACAGGTTCTATCACACAAACTATAGATGCCAGTTTTGTATAGGAAATCAGTGACCTGTTGGTGGAAATAAGGCTGTTCCGTCACCGGTTTTACACAATCTTTGTAAATCGGTTCAAAGGACATGATCGTGTATGTTTTACACTAAATACTTCAGAAGTACAGCTGGCACGGGCTCAAAACCCGATAGTAACTGATAACTTCTAAGATTTAGCTCTACGCCCACCTTTCTAGGTGAAACAAATTGACATTGGTCTCTCGTACGAGAATAAATGTTCCTGTATCGGAGAAGTCCCTTTAGTAAAGGACATAAATCATGATAATACTGTACAACTACGTGCTACTCTACAGCATTCTACAACATGCCAGGAATACTTTTTACACTTTTGTGTGTTTAGCTAACTTGTTGGTAAAAAACCTAAACATATAATTATTTTCAAATTTGAGACCTAAACTATGGCAAAACTAAAAGATCTTGCTAGGAATTCTTATTTTCAATTTTGTTACTTAATGCATTTTCCACGGATAAGTAATAGAGCAACATTGTAATAGAAAGCTGCAAGAGCCGTAGCGTGTGATTGTCAATGTATTTTTCGTTTGGCGTTCTTCGACGCTAAAAATGGTGGACATCGTTGTATTTTCTTATCGAATAAATTATTGGGAAGGATAAATTATGGTACGGTTTTGAATTTCGTTTGTTTATATTTTTGGTTTCCTTTTTTTTCTTTACATAGTTTATTAACAGGTTATCGTTCAATACAAATAAATAACATACTTTTGATAAAGTGGGGTTTCTTGATGTACATAGTTGTAACTTTATTGCGTCTGTTTACATTGTATTTCATATGCTTCACGCATTCGCTGTCCGGCGAGTTTGTTACTACAGATACCTTAACTAAACTTACTACTACAACTACTAAACCTTGCATCCATCACAGTTTATTGGGCTACTTAGCTTCTGGTAGGTTCCGTAACTTGCGTAACCAAACCAGTCGCTGTGACCTAGATTGAGCACAAAAATATTATATTTTAATTTTATGTCAGTTTGATTTTTAGTCTTAAACATAATTTCTGTTATGTTGTTGAGTTTTATGTTAGAGTTTTTAATCGGTAATTTATTTTGGACCAATTAATAATAATACGACATTTGCGTAATTCTTCTTAAATATAACAAAACAATGATAAACAAAACATTTTTTGTAGACAACCCTGCTACACGATAACTTGGAACCAAGGAGTACAATAAGCAGTAAATTATTGATTGTTATTCGAATTCCAACCAGTAAGTGTAAGCACAGTTCCAAGTACAACCCTGAATGAGGACTGTAGATAACTGTCACTCACTCAGTGTTTCCTAACTTAAAACATATCACAATCAATCATAGATTTACCAACTACGACGAAAAGTGTAATTTTGGCATATCAATATTATTTAGGGCCGTTAGGGATTTTTCGGCAGTCCTGGCTGTTTGTAAGAGGATTAACACAAATATTCCAAGTGCTCAACCCAGGTGAAGAGCAACAATTCGAAGTTTTTACATATCAGCACTGTTGCACTCTGCACGTCCGAGATGTCACTGCTACAATGACTTTTGGGTTCTGAAGTAGACATTCCATCTATAAATGGACACTGTCGCAGAATTTTTATTAAAAAATAACATAGCTGAATAAGCCATTCATAGAAAGCACTACTCTCTGAAATTCTATTTTCTCTCTTAAATCTAGTTACTGAATAGTCGATTTGACATTTAATAGGCCATAGCTTACAAGTCGCCCAATAGAAATGTGTTATAATTTACTTCAGCGCAATCTTTCGGTGGCCCATTTCAACTACGTCCATTTTGATTTAAGATTCAGCGACAACTTTAACATAGGGGATGGAATGTCTAGCTCTATCAATAGTCAAGGCGGCTACTGTATATTGTCACACTACACGAAGATGTTCTCCAACAGCTGTTTGGTGATGAGCCTGTGAGGCCGTGTAGGGTTCAGCTTGGGTCGTCTGTAGAGCCGCGCGTTGATTGGATACAGCTGTTTGCTGAGGTCGCAGCGTACGTTGAACCACCAATCACAGACGAAGACAGCCTGTGAGAACTGTGTGCCGTTGGGACAGAGGAAGGTGGTCTGTCGGCCGTCGATGTCGCAGTAGTGCCACGCCTGGCAGCGAGTGTCCATGTCGGCGAAGAACCCAGGGTAGTCCTGGTCCTCGCAGTAGAAGTCTGTGTAGGGCACCAGCGACAGGATGGGGTAGTCGGCGCCGGGTCGACCTGGAACATTACATTGAGGAGGTTAGCGTAATCTTCCACGAACCTTTTAGAACCTAAGACAATCTGAAGATACTTAATCATAATTGGCGATACTTTTACGTACTGGGATGTGTAGGAGAAGACGAGAAAAGAAGTCAATGGATGAGACGACAGGCGTTACTGACTACGATAAGCTGGTTAATATTAAGGATAATTTATTAGCCCAATGGTCAAAGATAGCTGGGTTCAGCTTTGAAGCATAAACAGGATTTGAGTTTTCTCAGGATGGATCGAACTGGAAAACTACTAAGTATCAGCCACCAAGCTATTAATTATGCTCTAGTACGACACATTCAAATCATTGTGACTTCGCTCTAGGGAGGGAAAAAACTACATCGAAAACGCAAAGGTTGAAAATTAAAGTTATTTTAAATTATTTGTTTTTCTTAATCGAAACCCCTAAAGTTAGATCTAGTTTGGTACGCAACCCTATTGTTTTCATCCCTCTCTTTGTGTGTTCATCACTTTGGTGTTTGCATTTAGCGAACTTACCAACAATTATCTACTCGAAGGCCGAAAATCTCTATATGAAATGACAATAGGCGTCGGCAGGACGACGATGTGCATGACGGGTAATTTACACAAGGCGTAGGCTGGCAGATAGAGAGGGAGAGTGGAGTCAAAGATGTCAAGGCCCTTCCCCTCTCCGACAGTTCGTACACGGTACCCTGTTTTAGCAATAAACCATTTTCTTTAATCAATTTAATTATTTTCAGGCAAGTGACCTGTTTTCTGCTCAGTTATTACGTAAAGCTTTCGATGAAACGCGTTGTGGAAGACTCTTCAAGGAGAACGAAATGTCTGGTGATTCAGTAAATTAAGGCATTCAGTCACTCGAATAACAAGTCCTGTTCAGTCTGGAAGTTCAGTGAGAAGTATGATGTATGTGCAGCTGTCATCGACTTGCATCAGCTCTTGTGAACTAAGCCGTAGAAGGACACGGCTCGTCATAGAGTTCTTGCCTTGAAATGGATCGTTCAGCAAGAATACTTCCTCTTGAATAGATGACATCAGTCAAAAGCGGATGTATAGTAGTGTTAAGGCTTAGGATTGCTATCATTACTTGATTTTATTTTCAAATGGTCAGTCAGTAAAGTTATCAGAACTGTTGCCATAACAAGTATAAAGTTATTTGGTTTTCTCGTGTCGACTACTGAAGTCTTTTCCAACGAGTTTTCAACTCCGCAATGATAAATCGGCTCGGCTTTGATCGTTGGAGATAAAGTTTGTTCGTGACCACTCCAAGGTTCGCGGAACACTAGTCACTGTCTCTCGCAGATCGGATTGTTTGCGAACGCTACAAACCCCGGGTACAACTTGTAACAGAGTTTTAACAGAATGATTTATAGTTTGTACTCTCTAATCCCGCTGTTCTTTCTCGCTGATAATGCAAAAGAAATGTCAAGTTGGTTAACTTCTGAAGCAACAACTGCTTCTTGCCACATTCTTCCTACTAAAGTAAAACTGATAATTTGCCTCTCCATTAAACATATCGTTTCAAACTCACTCAACACACTATTTCAATACAGAAACCATTAGGCATTATCATTAGCACAAATCTCCAGTTGAAAAGTCCGAAAATGAAGAATGCAAGCATTGCTTTCTAAGCGTTATGTTTTTTAGTTTATTACAAACAAATATCGAGCACCTGTTTTGTAGACCATTGGTTCGATTGCAATTTTTCAAATTTTGTATTTGGATGAGTGTATGTGTTGATAAGTGTTGTGTTGATATGTAGATCTGTTATCACTCCTTGTCCAGCGCCGTTCTCATTGTGTGTTGTCAGTGTCGCAAGAGCCCGGCTGTGGCTGCCGTCGCCTCGGGCCGGGGCGGGGGTCATTGCCGACCATTGGCCAACCACTGGGGCAGGGCAGGGCTCAACACTCAACAGCTGACCTCCTAAACCGAGATTTGGCAGAAACGCGCTTGCCAACATGAGTATATAGTAGACGTAAAAGCGAAATATCAGATTAAAGTACTAACATAAATCCTTCCAAGATTCGCATCAGGTTGTGTCTCGGACCCTAGAGTTGTTTTATTGTTCTTACTCTTGCGTTTAAATTGTAATAGGTTTTAAAAACCAGTGTTGCAAACCGTGAACCGCTATTGACGTCAAACGTTTTTTCAGAAATAGGTAGCATACCAGATAATTTTATTGGACTGAGTAATTTTCCAAGGAAACCTAGACTTTTCATATCAAATGGATGGATGGGCCAGCCGATTCGAATATTACTTTTGAGAGAGAGACTTTATATGATTACTAGTTCCAGTTAGTTTCCGACCAAGAAAAGATGGAACGAGAGTCTCATAGAGTGTGATAATAAAGCCCATATAATATTTATGTTTTTTAACTGAAAGTTGATACAAATACGTCTTATAACACTTAAAACATATCCTTACGCTGATACTGTTAATACATTTTAGTTTATAATAAGACAAATGTAATGGTATGCCGCCGCTAAACAGATGCATCTCTTCCATTCTCTTATGTTTGTTATGTCACTTGTTTGAGGGATAGTTCCGGGTGACTTTCGCCTCAACACATCCGAGTCCCTGTCATGTCAATCCTATCTGATCTACAGTCTACAGGCCGGTGTTGGGTATGCATGAGTGAGACCGTGTTGTAACTGGGGTGGGATCACTGCTCTACAACTGCAACTACTTCTCGCTAGCTGCAGTGGTACAGCCTCACATTGCGTATAGTAAAACATGTTGTGTGATCAAGTCTACCTAAACATTGCATTTTGTATGTATTGTAGTGTTGAATAAAACATTAGTTTCGAGATACGAACTTTGGTCAATACAAAATTATTGTTATTACTGTACTCTAGTAGACATATAATCTTTTTGGACCAACTGTGATAAGTTTTTTTAAAATCGCAATGAACACCATTTTCTAAACAAGTCATCCACAGAGTGTGCTAAAGTCTCTATTTGTTTCCTTCCATCCAGAAGGTTGTTGATGACGATATATTGACAGTTTAATTTTTCCTTGTTTAAACCATTTTTTTTAGTGTATGCATTCTTAACCTCCTGGCGACACAGTTAATAGCCTTAAGTATAATATTTATTTTTGTATTTACACTGAAAGATTCGAGATAAGTGTCTCGTACGTGTGCGAGAAGAACCTTTTTGATCCCCGACATATCAACAACAATTTGGTGGGTTTAGACCACTTTCCCCTAAATCGTATGTGATATAGAAAATGCCTGCCATTTGCGTAAACGCCCACAATAAAGTGAAAAACTTAGCCTAACAACCTTCCCCTTCCTTTTATCTTCTATTCCCCGACAAAGCATTCAAATAATCCAGTTATAAATAAGTTAACAAAGATTTTATTGTATTGCAGCTAGCAGTACGGAGTACCAATCAATACTATGGTGATATTGAATATTACAGCACGGTGGCCGCGGTATGCCAGGCTGCGAGGAAGCGCTTGCCCGCGGTGAAAGTGTCATTATCCTGGCAGTGTAATTGGACCGTTTTGTTACATGAACCCCGCCCCCGACACCTTCAACCCAGTGGTATCAGTGTATCTGGATCTGGATCATCTCGTCCGTCGTGTTGTGTTACGGAAGCGAAATATGAAAGGACAGTTTCGTAACTTTCCAAACGTTGATGACGTTGGTTGTGATGTAGGAAAGGATTGACTTCTTGAATAGCTTCGGAAGCTGTTTTTGTGTTTTTATTCAGGGCTTGTTTCAATTTAATTCATTTCGGACATTTTAATTCTTACTGAGCCTTAAACTTAAAATAATATGCAGATCGAATTATTTTATATTACTATGACACCGACACGTACGCCGAATGCGTCGTTAGGGCAAAGTTGAGATGACAGCGTTTACTGACAAGATCAGGTGTTTCGTTAACCAAACATATTTATTGAAAGCCGAATTATGAAGGACAGAAACCTATAGTAATGAACTCTATTACAACAATAATGGGCAATTGGTTCACAGTGTAACCTTTTAGCGGTTGGAAACTGAATGTCCTTGATCAACTGGCGTTTAAGTATTGCAATCTTAGGTCAAGAATCGAGGTCCTGGGTTTACTAAGGCATTTGTGTAACTCATGCAACCGTTGTACTTCATCCATCATGTGTGTGTTTATGTGTGTTACGAACAACGTAATTCTGGTTTTTAATAACAATAATTAACTCAATTCGCATTTAAAACGTCGAGAATTGGTTAGAATCATTGGAATCTAAAAGTGAACTCTAAAAAATAACTTGCAATATTACTGATAATTTAAATTGTATTTTAAATAATTGATTGAATTTGATAATTGATTGAATAAAAAAAACATGCAAATTCAGGGTCGCATATTTGCAGATCACCGATTGAATATTTTTGTAAATGTAATAATGGTGTAAGATTTTGTAAATGTTTGAAACGTAAATGTAGTAAACGTTTAAACTGGAAAGTTAAAATGTGCATCGGACAATCGGTTTGTAATTTATTGCAGGATCGTGATGTCAATGCTACTCTGTTCACCGTGTTACAAGTACAATTAAATGTATACTATATTGTCTATTTTATGTATAATGTACTTTATATGAATGACACAATATGTTAAGGAATGGACCAGTCGGAGTAGACTTTACATCGCTTTCCAAACAGGTTTTAAACAAGCCGTGTGTTAACATAACCGTCTGCTGTCCGCTGCCCACCACCTTCGTGCTGTGCTATCTCGCTACCATGCTATAGCCACGACACGGCTACATCTTCCTACGCAATACGTTGAATTGTGTCTGTCCTGTGAAACACTTGACCTGAGATACAGACCTGGTATAGATTTGCCGAGCTCCAGGTACTCCTTGACAGAAGGACTGAGGAACCCTGGGGGTACGGAGGGTTGTTTGGGAGGACCGTTCCTCTCGTCCAGGGCCTGGTCACCGTCATTGGAGGCGGCGTCGACGTCAGGGTCAGGGGCTGATGGCGCTCTGGGTCTCTTGACTACACGACCCTCCTCCTCGCCACCTGCAAACATATGTAGTGAGAAAACAAAATCTGTTGAAAATGAAAGGACAACTTCGTGTGACATATACCTTGTGTGATGTCCAATCATCAAAGTACGTATCCAAATAAGGAAGTAAATAGTAATACTTATACAGAATGTTTATTTCTTCGGTCACAGTAATCGTGGGTCTTTGCTGAACAGTGTTGAAGTAATTTAACCTTATTCACGATTATTCGTCAAATCTAAATTAATCACCCACTCTTCGTATGTAGTTGAGGTTGTTGGACTTTTGACAAGGAAATCATCTGATATAGGTTTAGCTCTGGTGTCGTTGATAAGTAGCCGTTCCTCTAATGTATACAATCTCGTCGGTTTGAGACCCTCGACACGCCCACGATTGCGACAAGATCTCCGGTCAAACCTAGTGACGGCCCAGATGTTTGCAAACAAGGGTGACCTTAGCCGAGCCGAGGTGAAAGGTATCCAGGACCGCAACCTTGCCTCTCCCTTAGCAGTTTCCGCCATCCGCCTTACAAAGTACTTCTGCAGGAGTCCAAAAAAACTGTGATGGTCGCTGCTGACGAGCTTAGAACTTTGTTTGTTTAATTTAACAAGTTTGATTAAATGTGACCAAAGTAATATTTACTTCATATTGATGTAAAAAATGGACTTGTTATCAATTATCAATTATCAATCGTTCCTCTCCGTATTAATTTTGATATTTCGCACCCAAGAGTCTTGAAATTACTCGTCATGTTCTAGAATAGAAATTGGCTCTACAAATGCAAAACTGATTCATCACTAGTACATGTCTGCTAACACTTCATCGCAATATTTTGTATATGTATGCAAGGTTTTTTTCAGATCCATGTAATATACGTGTATTATTACTGCACCGTATACCTTTGTTTGCATTTACACTATGTGCGATTGCTATTTGGACCTGTCTGATATTGCACTATCTCGTTTAGCATACAATTTGTTTGAACGAGTTAGCTATCACCGCAGGAGTTTTTCGAATAAACTCGTGTTAAAGTCACAGAAGAATCACTTCTAACCGTCTACATGTTGGAGGGCAGCTAAAGTGCAATACAGTATATCTGAAGGTTTTAGGGTCGTGGTCGTGACATAGCGAGCAGTTCACTCTGTACTTTAACCATCGCCGCCTACTGGTTACTGGTTACTGGTTAGCCATATCGGATCACAGCTGATTATCCTGACATTATCTATGCGTTATGTTGCGCAACGGCATCAGAACAGATAACTTCAGCTAGGAAATTATGTTATGCGTTGTTTACCTGGCCGTGTTTCCTGTGTAAGAGTTTGTGTTTAAGCATGTATACAGATGAATTTTGCCGTTAAACAAGTTCAAGGAGTAGAAGCTTTGATTCGTTTTTCACTGTGAAACCCACAGCTGTTTTCAATACATGTGTTTCTGGGCTGAAGACATGCCTTTGATCTATCTATTGTGAAAAAGAATCGTCTGGAGTCTAGAAACAGCTGTATATTGTCTATCTCAAAAATTCGTCCCAAGATTTTGTCGAAAAAATAGTACCGATTTACAAAAATATTAACTTATCGTGATCAACATGTTTTTGTGGTTTTTACCGTGTCACGTTGTATGTTTGATTACAATTTACTCTTCTATATTTCAACACAAAAGTAATACGTGACACTTTTAAATGATGGTAAACGCTGTTCGTATATCTTGCAAAACAAGCCGTTAACAGTTAATTATATAAAGGTAAATTATTATACTTATTGTTTTGTGATTTAGTTTGCTTATAGTAATGGCGCATTAATTTATAACGAAAGTTGTTCATCACACGGGACAGAGGTTTTTTTTCAAACCCACGCTCATTTTCCAACCTCGGCTTAAAAAGAGACTGTTTCGACTGCTTAAAAGAGTCACTTTAGGGCCTAGTGACAAAATGTTCAATTTATTATGTAAACGTTATTAGACGCTAATTGTTACCGAAAAAGAATTGTTTGAGTTTATAGTTACAACTGCTAACAGTTTTCTCTTAAAGTTACATATATTCATTCGTTCATTGCCGTGTTGTTATTGAATTCTCTCGTGTCGCACGTAGCGTAGAAAGCTACATTTAAATGCTTTGTTACAAACAATGACTTCTACAAAGATAACTTTCTCTATACAGCTTAGCCTTTGATCACAAAGAACTCAAACCCACATTTGGTGACAATAAGTCTTTGTCGTATATTTGTCGTATATTCAAAGGTGGTGTTTAAGTCTAAGTGCATCTCAAAGTGAACAATCGTTCGTTCTCTGACATTTAAACAATATCTAATCAAATTCTCTCATGCGCTGTACCAGTTGAATTTTGATTTTACAATTAATTGAGCTTTGAATAATGTCGCCATTATATTTCATTTCAATTGCCAATACAGGGTAATAACCTGTGATAAGCTTCTACTTCTCTTATTCACTAAATTAAGTCAATGGACTGTATGTTAATCATTTTCAGTTGTACCGTCAAGAACGCCGGTAAAAATAGGAAAACAATTAAATGAGTATCATATAATACTTTTGCCTCTAAGTTTTCCACATATTTTGGATATCCTACACAGACTTGTACTAACGAAGGACATCCGGTCAGTTTAGTTAAATGATGACACCGGATTATAATAATGGGTAGGTTTAGGCGGGCTTTAGTTGGAGATAACCAAAGTGGCTGTGGACAAGTTATTGTTATGACCTCGACAAGGACTTAATAGCGACGTATTTGACTAAATGTTGTTGAGAAACGTTTTATTTCTTATACAGGGTGACTGCCGGGAACCGGACGTTTTTTAAATGAATAGTAAAACCTTATTTTATATAGTAAAATTATTTAATTGTTGAATATATATTGGTGAAAACATACCATTTCAAAAAACACATGTTTTATGGAACCTTTTATCCTAGTTTGGGTTTATTTCTTACAGATGATATCATGCATGTGATGGCCGTTAACCTGGATACAATATATCAGTAAACAACACCTGCATACGTACTGCAAAATCTTCTCTTTGTCCATAGTCCCTCTCTTTCAGTTTCTGTACCACCTGAATTTTTAAGGATGAAATTTCAATCTGATTTTAAAATTATTCTGACAGAATCGCGCTTCATGCGTAGCTCTTGTGCGTGTCTTCGTGCAGAGCGACCCGGGCTCCTCATCAAAGCAGTTCTCACTGTGGCAATGTTGTCTGGTGTTCTCACTGTTCTTGCTAGACCGGGTGGCTTATTCTTTGATACTGTTCCTGATGTTCTGAACTTGTGCACCCATCTTGGCAATGTATTCCGGCTTGGAACCGTGTCATTTCGCGCAATATTAAAGTGGCGTCGGAAGATACGCTGTGTTTTGATAACGGATTCGCCATTTTTAATAAATGTGTCATATGCAAAAACACGATGCTGAACTGACCACTGATCCATCGTGACTAAAATGGTAAAGCTCACTCAAAACAATGACATAACCTCAATCTCCCTAGCACGTGTAGCAACAATGTAACAGCTGTTGCAAATTCGTCCGGTTCCCGGCAGTCACCCTGTATTAGTTACAACAAAATGATGAGTTTTAATTGGCTCTCAGCACATAATCAATTGCGATGGGATTCATGAATTTAATTCAATTGTTGGTTATTGTTGAAGTTATTTAGCCATTTTTATTTAATTAATTGATTCTATTTCAATTTGCTGAACCGAATGGTTTGGTAAAGAAAGACTGATTACTTTGGGCGATTTTACAAGCTAGATACGGTACTAACCAGCTCGTGGAATAGCAGGTTAAGTCGGCGTGTAATACATGCAACTTATATTAAACATGCCTCCGACCTCATCAATACAGACTAATACTACAAGTTGCTTGTGCATCAGCAATTGCGAGTACGCTTGAATAGTTTACGATCCAGTTCAGTTAACATGGAACGTCACTGGCAGATTCGACTCAAATATCGAGCAAGTATGGCGAGTATACTGTGCCAGTTTACGAGCTGCGTGAATAAACGGTCAGTGGCTTGTAAACAGCGTGTAATCGAACCTTTACACACGTTACATACTCGCACAGCACTGTGTGATATTTATCTTTACTCTAGAGAGCACACAGTAAAAGTGGGGTTCAAAGTGATGACTGTGTTTGTGTGGATGTGTAGAGAGCTACGGATTACAACCGTGGTCCGAAATTGATGAAATTTGGTATGCACACTAATCCATGGTATCTTCTGGGCATTTTTTTCATCTATTCGAAACCAATATTTTAACGGGGATTTTCCAAAAACATTAACAAAATAAGGAGAAATATTTTTTTTTGCTAAAAATGACTATTAAGATTTTGATCAAAATGCTGTAGGAATAACTGTTCTAACATTATTCCGATATCTGTGACTTCCCTAAAAAAAACGTCGTTTACGTACAATTATGTTTATGTTAATTGCAGAAACTGCGTTAATCCCCATGATTAAATGTAAACAATCCTTTAATTAGAAATCAGCTTCGCAGAAAGATAAATCATGTAACGAATACTCGCCTACTGTACTGGTTTACTGTACTTAGCGGGGCCTAGTACAGACCTTAACCAGGTGACTTGATCCTGCGCATCCCAGGTCACGCGACAGTCAAAACCTGACCGTGCGCAAACAATCGACAATATAATAATAGAACGATAAGATATTGATGATATGAAGTTAGTTCCACTGTCCCCGTGTGGTATGCTACAGCAAGCCAACGGTGATGTCTGACATGTACGTCATCTCTATGGTAATGCACGCCAAAGTTTCATCCAAGGTCGATCCCTGCATAACTTATCTCGGATCTTCTTCACTGTTCCCGCCATCGAAGGTCAACTACTCAGTTTCCCGTCGTAACCCGACTTGGTGAATACTGTCCTGCGCAGTTGCAGATCTTGCACCTAGTTCGAGTTGGACAATCTTCAGTTGTCGACTGGTTAAAAAAATCGCAGCATATGACGTATTTTATCTCAAACAATAAGTATATATTGTGTAACTGGTGCAAATCACAAAAGGTGGGGTTGGATTGTAAAACTAACCATAGATTTGTAAAACAATTTATGCTAATGAAACCCACTAGTCCTACGCTCTCTGATCCGACACCTTCCGACGACATTGTTGTCGGACGTCGGATCCGATTTTTCTCCAGTCTGCGTGCACCAGGCCTAGATTAGTCACTGTCTAGCTTCGTATGTGACATGAGTATTGGCGAACATTTGATCGAAGCAGATTGGGAGTATCCCTTTCTTTATACAGTAGGTTATAATATCAGCCTGAAGATATTCTGATGATTTCAATGATGCAAGTTCTATAGATTCGAGTGGTGACTGGTTCTTAAATTGAGGACCAACTATTATAGAAAAAGATTATGCGAACGGAGATCCATCGTATGATGGACAAATGACGACCTCTTTTGCTACTTCAGCGGCCAAAATTTACAAAAAAAGCCTGATACATATAATTTACCGTCGGTTACTGACGGGGCCCGTCGGACCAATGGGTTATTGCCTTAAAAAGTG